AGGGGCAACTTGGTACTGGTTTACAATTTGGAAGAAGTTTGATAATTTTGCTTTATAAAAGCTTTTCTGATTTGTTATGCTCTTCTGTACATTTCCTATGTGCCAACTCAATAGTGAGTAGATGTGGATATCTAACTCTTGTCTTATACGATTGGTCTCAGGATATGGCTGGTCTAATTAGCAAGATAAACCGTTCCTCTATTGGTCCCTTGCCTTCACACTATTCCCCATCTTTGTAAGTGTCGATGAGCTTTAGTTGCCTACTAGCATCATGTTCTTCACTCATTGGATCTTTTTTGTAATGCTAGACATTTGCAACTTAGTTGCTCTACTGAATGTTACCTCACCTTATGCCTTGAGGAAATATTTGAGTTTCTTTGAGGGTGAGTTTTTTTCCTGTCTGGATGTATATTTGTGGAATAGAGTCAAGGTACTCTAAAAGTGTGCATTACTTGCCTGATCAGGAGTCTTAAATGCTCAGTTTCTTGTTTCTTTCTTGTATTAAACAGTGATATAGCAGAGATAGAGGTAATGATGCAATGGGATAGGTCTTGACAGTTTATTCTATTCAATTTCATGGCCGTAAATTCCATACACCTCATCTCCTGTGCCATGATGAAATTGATGGCACATGGAAAAGCAGATACATTTGCATCAGATACTCAGGGCTTCATATTAGTATATTAGGATGCTAGTGACACTATGATGCACTTGTGAGATGCTTCTTGGTCTGCTCCAATATGATTATCATTCCGAAAAAACCTGCTTTTCTCACCAACATCACCATTGGCAGATCTTGGGGGGGTTAGTGGTGGCCCCTGGCCCGCTAGTTCCCAAGTTTGTTAGACATCAAGTACTTATTTCTTTTAAAAGATTATACCTAAATTTTTAGCTATAATTTTCATTTTCTATTTAGAATTTGGTGTGCCAGCGGCAGTGACCATCCAATTTCTCCTTATCGGAGGATGAAACAATCTCGGTTGGATTAGCAGATTAGTGAAAAATTTTCCCGGACAATCCTGGCGTAGGTCCACCATCCACCAGCAAACGAAGCCGGCGTTACTGCTAAATATCTTGCATAAGTATTGTAGTGGAAAGGAACTTCTCGTTCTGCTTCTGCTTGATCCTTGTGATCACTGCCTCCTTTTCATGGGGTTGCCCTCGCCTTTCCCAGAGACACACCCTTCTCATTTTTCTTCCTTGCCAAGAAAAATAAAGGGGGAAAACAAGGAAAGCCAAGAAAAAAAGAAGAAGAGATCCACTCTCTTCCATTTCCCTTTTTTTGCCCCGTTACTACCTGCACTTGATAAGTTGTGCCTGTAATCTTGAGGAATTCATATTTTTCTTATACTTGATGTCTGATAGCAGAATAGTGTATGGCCTACTATAATCTGCTTAGCATTGTGATGCAGAAAAATGCTTATCAAGGGAATGCTGAGAAAGAATCCTGAGCATCGACCAAGTGTAATGCTTTCTGTCAACTTCACTAATTCCAAGCCAGGAAATCTTGATGTTAACATTTAATTTTTCTTTTTCCAGGCATCCGAGGTCCTGAAGCATCCTTATTTGCAACCTCATGTTGACCAGTACCGTCCATCCTTCACTCCAATGACATATGTCCCAGTAAAGCGCACAAAAACTCCCAGTTTTCGGAGAAGTACGGCTGAGAGCCAAAATAGTAACAGCTCTTGCAGTGATAAAGACAGCTTGCTTTCAAGTGAGAAAAATTTATTGGATGTTCTCAACTGCAATAACAGGGCCACGGATACCGATTTGGCTTCATATGATGATGAAGATTGCTACGAGCAGTCCCTTTCAAACGAAGCACAGAATGGATCCTTTACCAAGAAGGAAGAGCAAGAGATAGCGAAACCCTCACATGAAGTGCAGGTATCAAGTGCCGAACCGAAGCAGCCGAGAACTATTAAGAGTATAATGATGGCTTTAAAAGAAGGGAAAGTGCGAGAAAACGTTTCCCCAATGAGAGGCAGCCGAATGAAGGCTGGATCTTCATCTAACCAAAGAAATAATAGAGAAGTATTGCCGAAGATTCCTAAACCCAGCCCTGTTCCTGCTATCAAGCATAATACAGACGCTTCAGCTGCAACACCTGCTAAGGCAGACAATGAGCCACAAAAGAAGGTTGAAAGAACACTTTCGCTGAAGCATCAGGTATTAGGATTTACTATAGCTCTCAATTTTCTTATATAGATTGAGAGTGTTGCTAATGCTCTGTGATGTATTCCAGTTACCTGCAGTTGATTTTTCACCCAAGACAAAACCGAGGCATGACATGACCCCTCCTTCCGGTGCCATAAGACAGGCTACTGATGATCCTATTTTGGCTAGAGCCAGGCAGAAAACGCCTCCCTCAAATCAGGTCAAAAGATCTTCATTTCCTGGGCAAGCCAGGCAAATGGGGGTCAACACTCCTAATACTGTGGGCAATTCGGTGAAGTTAGGTTCAAGTGAGCCTATGCATGAGCCTGAAAAGGCTACTCAAGTTCACAATGGTGTTGTTTCCCATCTCAGTAGGCAGACCAAAGGACAGCTTCCAAAGGTAGAAGCTCCCAGAGGGACGCAAACTGCTAGTAGCAATTCTGAATCTTCGTCTATCTCCATTCAAGGATTTGAGGTTTGTGATGATGCTACAACTTCTTCTGTTGTCATGGTGCAACATGTAGAGCGGCCACAGCCTGTCAATGACAGAGATGCATGCACTGAAAGTGCGATGTCTCACGTGAGTGCGCCCGTATCTCATGTACACTGCGAGAATTATGTTGAGGAGGCCACTGGAAGCTGCAGACACGCCTGCAGATCTCTAATAGATTCTAGGAAAATCTCTGAAACTGGTGCTGAGCTTCATAAAATGATTGCTGATAGTGACAAAGTGATTTCCAATTTTCCCCAAAATAGCTGTGAAGAAATATTTGTTTGCAAAGGTGATGGCCCTCTATGCAGGCCTAGTATCACACCCAATAAAGTCTCCCAGTCAATTCCTACATCTCCTTCCAGTGGTGATGAGAAATATATGGTACGAGAGCTTCTGTCGTCACTAGCCGAAACTACTACTTCTAATACATCTCCTATATCATCTAGCCAAAAGAACTTGCAGCCTGATAAAGGGATGATTCTGCACCATCCGACAATAGAAAAGCCAGGTACCCCTCATCTTCATTCAGCTTATGATGACGTCATACATGTTATAAGGCACAGTAGTTTCCGAGTCGGCAGTGAGCAGCCTGTTGTGGAAACTGTGGAGATGGGTGTCCAAAATGTAAATGTTGGGAAGCTGATAAATGTTGTCAGTGATGACATGGAAATGAGAAACATGGCTACTCCCATGACTACGAGAACTTCTAGTGGCTCCGAAGCCGTGTCATATCAGTCAAATGACTCCGAGCATTCTGCTGTTAAAGAAATTGATGTTGCAAACACTGTTTCGGCTGGATTGATATCTGATTCTGTTCCAAAAACTGATTCATTGCCACCAGTAAAACCCAAATCCCCTGGGAATGAAGAGGAACTACCGGCAAAGGAGACATTGGATGTGAAGTCCTTCAGGCAGAGGGCTGAGGCACTAGAAGGGCTCCTTGAATTGTCTGCGGAATTGCTGCAGCACAACAGATTAGAAGAGCTTGCGGTTGTGTTGAAGCCCTTCGGGAAAGATAAGGTTTCCCCAAGGGAAACAGCTATCTGGCTAGCCAAGAGTCTAAAAGGCATGAAGATTGAGGACAGCGGACGAACTTCGTGAAGCATCAAATTGTGGTAAGCATGCTCCTATCGTAATTATGGGTGTCGGCCTAGTGATTCATTGATTTTTGTCGTGCATTTGTACATTCAAGATCCCTTGAATATTTGAGAAACCACTCCTTATCTATGTCCTTTTTTCTTATTCTTCTTTTATGATTCAGTTCTTAGATGCATAACCTTTTTGTACATAGTGACCGATATAGATGAGAAAGATTGAATTCCAGCCTGATACTTGGGCGTGCTTTGTGAGTTAAATCACGTAATTTTGAGCTGTTAAAGCAGCCTATTTACTTTCATTAGCAAATAATAGCATTGGGAATAATATATCGAAAAAAAAAGTAGCACTAGGAACTAATAATTCCAAGATCCATTTAAGGTGAGAATGATTTCATTTTGGCCAAGAATCTGTTTCATTCCCATTGTGCTCTTTCTAGCTTTTTTTTTTGGCTCTATCACTTTGAGAGCTAGGGCAGGAGATGATGCGAACTCGACTCTAGATCGTCAAGTAAACTAGTATATCCTCCTTGTTCGTTTCATTTTGTATGCCAGCCCTCCTCAGAAAGCTCATGATTGGCCCATAATTGAGTTAAAATCTACGATCTGTTTATAAATTACGATATCGCGGATATGCATGTGGGTTGCGTTTACCGATTTCCTCTCAGAGATAGATAGGGAGGTAGGAATTTATCAAAAGTATCTGTGGTCTCTAAAGGTGTATGTCTTATTGTTTTCATTGGACAGAACTTCTAAAAGTTGGCCATACTATAGCAAGAATTAGTCCACTGGTAAGGTACGGTAGTCATTCGATTCTACGAGATGCACTAAAATTAGGCAAATGTGATGGTGCATTGGATTCAAGTTAATTTTACATATTTTGTTTGTCATGCGAAACACTTGTGCAGAGAGAGAGAGAGACAGGTTGGTAGTTATGAGCCTATTACGCCTCAGTTCCAATTTGGACCTTTCTTGTCATGACGATCGATGGTGGTTCTTTTTGTTGATCGAGGGCCTGGGAAGGGGGACAAAGGAGAAGTCCGATGGAAACTTACATATGACCGACCATCCTCTATTTGATCATCCGGGCGTCGTCTGTGACCGCGTATGATGCAATGCTTTCTGTCTTTAGCAAGACTAGAACTGACCAAAACCGAAAATCAAAATTGCAGTTTGTTTTCTAAGCATCGAACACGCGTGCTGCCTGGTGAAAAGGATTAAAGAGAAAAGAGAGTCCGTAGATCATATCCCCAAAAGAAACATGAACTTGGTCGGGACTTTCTTGGAAGTTGTCAGGATGCTTCACTCTTTTCCATCAGAGCACAACTCGAAACTCATGAGCCCCAATATCTCCAAACGCAAAACGCGTTTCCCCTGCTAGATAGTCCACGACATGGAAATTTCTCTCTTACCTCTCTCTGTCTCTTCGTCTCTGTCTCTCTCTGTGAAGACTCTATATAGGACCCCTCCTGAGTTTGGAATTCATCCAAAAATTGCATGTCCTCAATCATGGAACACCCTGCAACTTCAATCCAATATAACCCCAGACTGTCCCTATCGCGTTCTATACGCCATTCCCGACGTCGTCCTACCAACTCTAGGGCCAATCAAGTAGTTCGCTGTCTGATCACCTCACTAATCCTTCTATTCGTCTTAGCCAGCGCCGCGTGCTTCATCGCCTGGCTTATGATCCATCCCCACCCTCCTGTAATCAGAGTCAACTCTCTTGCCGTGTCCGGCTTCAACATCTCAAGCCCTCAGTTCACCCCCAGATATGATCTTGAACTCGTCATAACGAACTCGAACAAGAAGATAGTCTTCTTCATCGACCACTTTGGCTTGCTCATTTCCTACAGAGGCATCCCACTCCTTAGGAGGGTCCGGGATTCATCGGACTACGTACAGATACTAGGCAACCGGAGTTCAGAGGTCGAGTTCAAGTTGGACTCTGAGAAGCTGAACGACCAGAAGAAGAGCAAGGTGCTTAGGGACATCAAAGGGGATTGGAGCAGAAGGGTGGTGAGCTTTCAGGTGAAGGTGGATATGAGGGTGGAGTTCAGAGCTGGGAGGTGGCTGAGCAGGCAGAGGTTGGTGGAGGCCTCCTGTAAGGATTTGAGCATTGAGCTTTTGCCTGCCAAAGAGACAGGGAAGCTCCATGATGGAGGGAGAATCTGCTCTGTTGATTAACATTTAAGTGTCCCTCTGATTTCTTCTCTAAAGGCCCATCATGGCAAGTGGTAGTTCATTGCCTTAATATAGCTTGGTCAGCTTGTTTCTTCTTTGTGTCAGATCGTTAATAGGAAGGAGCAATTCGTTTTACGTCTTTGTAAACAAACGAAAATACATAAGATAGTAATTTGTGACTTCATTGTAAGTGTCTATTACTATCGATCTCACCCATGTTGATGCCGAAGCGCTATAGAAATTAGGCTAAACAGAAGAATCGAAAAATAACGAGGAACAAACTGTTCTCTCAATTGATTAACAATCAAAATATCCAAAGTCTGATAAAACGAAACCCTAAAACAAGTTTATATATCCTCAAACCTAACCCTACTAAGATTAGTAAACATCAAAACGTAAAGTTACGAAACTGCCCTTTACTAAATTAACCCATAAAAAATACTAAAAAAATAGAAAAACCCATCTAAACGACCCCGAATCGCGAAAATCCATCGTTAGTCGTAGCCAAAGGCTACGTGTATTGATCAGCATGCCGTTTTGCTTCAGCCGACCAAATTTGAACTCAATCCGACATCATTGACTTCAAGCCTGCCGGTTCGTCCAGTCGCATAACGGGTCCGCCAGTCCCCTAGGTGCATCATCCTCCCCTGCTAGAGAAAGATTCGCCCTCGAATCTGCTTCGTCTTCATTGTCGTCAATCTCTTCAGGGTCTTCTTCCTCTTCAGTGTAGTAAGGTGACAAATCTGCTACATTAAAAGTTCCAGAAACATTGTGCTCACCCGGCAACCCAGGTGGCAACTCTTCCGGTACAACATCAGCAAACTCCTCAAGCAAGGGCAGAATTTGGGTAGGAATTTCGGGACTGTCAGAATTCCGCTCCATCACTACGATGGCAAAAAGCCCAGGCGCGTTCACTGCCTCTTCTTGAAATTTTGATATGGACAGTAGATTATTCTTCACTTCCTTTCTCAAATCCGAAGGACCTACGGTAATGGTTCGGCCATCCTTCTTGAATGCGTAGGTATTTCTGAAACCATCATGCTGTGTCTTTCTGTCAAACTGCCACGGCCTTCCCAATAAAATATGGCAAGCATCTATTGGGACTACATCACACCACACCTCATCGATGTAATTTTTTCCAATTGAAAATTGCACAAGACACCTTTTGCCCACCTTCACCTCGTTCCCTTTTCTAAGCCACGACAGCTTGCATGGTTGATGATGATATTCTGTTTTCAACCCCAACTTTTCCACCATAGTCGTGGACACCACATTCTCGCAACTCCCACCATCTATTATCATGTTGCATACTTTTCCTCTACTAGTGCACTTAGTATGAAAAATATTATGTCTAAGCCACGAATCATCATCCGCTACAGCAACATTTAATATTCTTCTAACGATTAGGGACTCACCAGAATCAGCATAGATAATTCTTTCCTGTTCCGCATCCGCGTCCTCTTCTTCGCCTTCAGATTCATCATAAACTGGACCTTCATCAAAGACTGGATTATCTACAAGCGTCACAACTGTTGTTCGGACAATCGCAAAGAAATGCCCGAATCCCCGACACTTGAAACACCGCTTGGCCGCAGCCTCTCCCGCTAGTTCCAAAGACTACTCCGCCCTCGTTGGATGCAGGTTTAGAACTCACATCCTTAACTGTGACCGGTGTCGAATTTACTGCAGATGTTCTCGCTTTTCCTTGGGATTCTTTATCTGACCACTTGGAACTGCTGCCTGACCACTTAGAATTACTGTTTTTTCTTTTAAACTGCTCCTCCACCTTTAGGGCTAGTCTGCACACATCCTCATATGTCCAATACTGCTGTAATTGGACAACATCAGAGATCTCATATCGCAGCCCTGCCAGATATCGTGCAATCGTCTGCTCGTCTTCTTCCGCCACATCACAACACATCCGCAAGCGATCAAATTCTTCTGTAAATTCCTCAACTGTTTTATCACCTTGCTTGACGTTATGATATTCAATAAACGCCTCTTGCCTATAATGGGTAGGCAAAAAAAATTTCTGCAATAACTTTTTCATCTTATCCCAGCGATCCACCTTCGGCTTCCCCTCTCTAGCGCGTTGCTTTTTCACGTGTTCCCACCAAATCGAAGCATGTTTTCGCAGCCTAATAGCCACTAACTTCACTTTTTGCCCCTTAGTTAGGTCTTTAAGATCAAAAATCTGTTCTACCGTATGCAACCAATCAATAAACTCATCAGGATGAGCCTTACCATTAAATTCGGGAATCTCGATCTTCATTCCGAAATTTTGAGAAGAGCGCTGATTTCCAGGTCGTACTCCTCGATTCCGCCCCTGGTTCATAACCCCAAAAGGGTTTACGTCCTCCTCTTTATCATCGGATGGATCCTCAGATTCTGTTTCTTCTTCGGATTGAACGCCCAACCTCGCCTCCGTAAGTTGTCGCTCCAAATCCTGGATTCGTCTTCTCTGCTCTTCAATTTCTACGTCTCGCAGATCTCTTAGATGCGGTTGGTCGTCCACTTCAGGAACGCCTCCACGCCCTCGGCCACCACGAGCCCGCCGTCCACGACCGCGATTCTGTTCAGCCATTGATTCAAGCAACCTGTGCTCTGATACCAATTGATGCCGAAGCGCTATAGAAATTAGGCTAAACAGAAGAATTGAAAGATAACGAGGAACAAACTGTTCTCTCAATTGATTAACAATCAAAATATCCAAAGTCTGATAAAACGAAATCCTAAAACAAGTTTATATATCCTCAAACCTAACCCTACTAGGATTAGTAAACATCAAAACGTAAAGTTACGAAACTGCCATTTACTAAATTAACCCATAAAAAATACTAAAAAAATAGAAAAATCCATCTAAACGACCCCGAATCGCGAAAATCCATCGTTAATCGTAGCCAAAGGCTACGAGTATTGATCAGCACGCCGTTTCGCTTCAGCCGACCAAATTTGAGCTCAATCCGACATCATTGACTTCAAGCCCACCGGTTCGTCCAGTCGCATAACGGGTCCGCCGGTCCCCTAGGTGCATCACATGTCCTCTCCGTTTTTAAGCACATTCATTTGAGCTCTCGGTCTGGACTTTGGAGGAGGAAAAATTTTGGAAAAATTGCACTAATGGTCTTAAACATTTGCCTCAATGTGCAGTCAAGCCCTAATCCTTTTATATTCAGTGCAACTAATTCCCAAACAAAATCCAAGAGGGAGAGAGAGTAAGAGAGGTTGGTCATGAGCACTACACACGATATCAAGGTCTGAAGTGGGTATCTTTACGTGTGGCATTAGTCGAAATTTCCTTCATTTGCATCTTATTATTTGTCGAAAAAATTCAGGTATTTTTTTAGCTTCGAAAGAAAAAAAAAATTTTAGTCTGACACATCAAAACGAATAATAAGAAAAGAAGGAAAAAAAAATGAAGGAATGAAATGTAAATGATGACGAAAGGAGATTCTAAATCGGCTTAGTCCGATTCACCTTCAGCCCACGCCCGCCCTCACTATTACGGCCCATTAGGCCCATTCAAAGAGAAATAAGCTGAACCCAGAAAGGAAGAAGGAGCCCATAACAAATGACATGATAAGCCCATTTCGGAGGGAAGGCCCGGCCCTTTAAAGACTAATCTCGAGTCCCCGAATTCAAGAAGCTTTTCTGGAGTCCTTGGAATCCGTCATTTTCCGGTTATCCACGTTCATCGTCGTTGATCTTCCATCGCCGATCCCCGGAGAACATTCCGGAGAGAACTCGAGAGGACACACACCGAGAGAGCACAAAATCCCTCTCGTCTAGAGGCCTCCGTCGTCAGTAAATCTCCTTGGCCGCCGCTCAGCGCAATCGGACGCCAATTGTCGACGGCGAAGTCGAGTTTATGGTCCCTGTTCTACTCTGTTCCTGGACCGAAAAAGATATGGGGAGTCCAGAACAATGTTTGTGTAGCGAATCGATCGCAATTTGAGCTGTTCTGATGATTTGAGCTCGTGTTATTGCCGATCGCGAGGATTTGAAACGAATTGTTGCTCTAATCTCGCACATGAACTCTTTGCCCGGGTCGTTCATGACCTGTTTGATGTTTTGTCTAAATGTCTTCAATGTTGATTTGCTCGTTACTGGTCAATGCGTGAGCATTCTAGCATGAATCACGGACGGGTTTTTTTTTTGCTGATGTGGCGTTATCATGAACATCAATTCATTATTTCTGAATCAAAAAACATCACATGTGAGTTCGATCCAATCTCGGTATTCACTGATCAGCGTTAGTCTTTGATTGTCTCTCTGCTTTCAGTACATGTTGATCAGTTTAGTGATTCTTGACCTGTGATTTTGAAATCGTAAGTTGGTCACTTTGACTTTGGTGTTAACTGACTCTTTGTTCGATCCAATCTTGGTATTAACCCGACACTTCAACGATCCGTATCCTGAATTCGCAAGTGAATGTTTCGATCGATTCTGTTGTCCGAACAGTTTCTGTTGCTCTTAATTTGCTCGTCGCTATCTCTTTTTCTTTACACTTTTCTTTTCCCGTTCGATTGAGAAGAAGCGTGTTTGCATGCAGCGAAAGCGCGAGACAGAATGCGACTGCGAGCGTTTTAGCGAGTTGTTTTATCTTCGTATGGATGTTTAGACTTTGATTTTGGGCACGCGCTTATCTGCTCATACTTCGCAATCAATCACCATAGCGGGGATTTTGGATGAGCGCGTTGTCGCGACGACGATCGATGGCGCTCCTACTTGCGGAACGAGGGGCCGGGAGTGGTGGGACAAAGGAGAAGTTCGATGGAAACTTATATATGACTATATGACCCCAAATGCTCTATTCGATCATCCGTGCGTCACCCGTGACCGCGTATGATGCAAATGCTTTCTGTCTTTAAGCTTAGGACTGGCCAAGGCCGAAAACCAAGTAGTTCGCCGCCTGATCGCCTCATTAATCCTACTCTTCGTCTTGGCCAGCGCCGTGTGCTTCATCGCCTGGCTCATGTTCCATCCCCACCCTCCCGTTTTCTGGGTCAACTCTCTCGCCGTGTCCAGCTTCAACATCTCGAGCCCCCGGTTCGCCCCGAGACACGACCTCGAGCTCGTCATCACGAACCCGAACAAGAAGATAGCGTTCTTCATCGACCATTTTAGCCTGCTCGTTTCCTACAGAGGGATCCCGCTCCACAGGAGGGTCATGAAGCCGACGGACCCCGTAGAGATACCAGGCCACCGGAGTTCGCGGATCAGGTACGAGTTGGACAAGGAGAAGCTGAACGACAAGAAGAAAAGGAAGGTGCTTAGGGACATGGAAGGGGATTGGAGCAAAGGGGTGGTGAGCTTCGAGGTGAAGGTGAATGTGAGGGTGGAGTTCAGAGCTGGGACGTGGCTGAGCAGGCAGAGGTTGGTGGAGGCCTCTTGTAAGGATTTGAGCGTTGAGTTTTTGCCTGCCAAAGACACGGGGAAGCTCCCTGACGGAGGGAGGATTTGCTCGGTCGATTACCATTTTAGGGTCTCTCTGATTTCCTTCTCTAGAGGCCCATTATGGTTAGTGGTGGCAGTTCATTGACTCATCGTAGCTTGGTTGGTCAGCTCGTTCCTTCTTTGTGTTAGATTGTTAAAAGGAAGTAGCAATTGGCATATCGTCCTAACGTAAGTATATATGACGGGGAATTTTTGTGACTACGTTATAGAAGTATCTATTACTATCCATCGATCTCACCTATGTCTCTTGGTCCGGACTTTGGAGGAGGAAATTTTTTCTGGAAAAATTGCACTAATGGACCTAAACATTTGCTTCAATGTGTAAGCAAGTCCTAATCGCTTGAAGTTGTACAATCAAGTCCTTTCGGTGATCTCAAGGGCAAATTTGCAAACATGATACGCCAGAATCTTGGTGTGGCGAATTGCAAACATGCTACCACGGCTTAATATACGAGTCATGTGGTATACATAACCAATCACCGTACTAGAATTGTATAAGAATCTGTACTTTTTAATGGGACTCGGTGTTGGTCTCATAAATTCTCGAGATAAGATTCATTTAGTCTAATAGATCTAGTCTAGCTACGTGGACAATACTTGCTCCTTAGCTACTCTCGTCGTTCGCTGTTCGGAAATATAGCAAATTGCTTCACATTGAAAATGTGGACATTGCTATTCGAATTGAAAATTCTTGAATCATGAGATTGACAATTAATCTCGGCATCGAGAGCTTGTTTATTAACACATCAAATTACCTATGATGTCTCTTTAACAATTTGAGAGGGCTAAAACTTACAACTTTCGCTTAATAAGAGTCACATATCCCAAAAGGTTAAAATCGAGTCTAATTAAGTTCCGAAACAGGATGGGCAAAAGTTCAGTGTCTCTAAGGAAAAATAATGTATTAGGGGATCGGCTATATTTTCCTTCTTTCGTGGTTATAGGAAATTTCCTCCAATCACATCTTTGATCGGAGGATCACAAGATATGAGTATCATTCACTCGACTAAAACTAAATGTGGGTGAAGCCTATGTTTATAACCTGTCAATTGGATTACTTTTCTTCCGACCAGGGAAGGAGGAAAACATGGGCCTTGGAAACTTTAATGTTAGATTATGAAAAATGATTCGATCCTCGACGTTTTTAACAATTAGCAAAACTATAAATATCGACCATTGGATAAGGCTAACACATTTTCATGTATCCCAATTCATATTAATGGTGTTACTAACAATTGAAAAATATGCATATAGAATTCTAAACCCACAAAAGAAAAAAAATGGCCGGGTTGTGGGTACCATGTTTATCTTCAAATCTCTCTCTCAGTTTTTTTTTTTGTTTAGTATTTTTCTCATCGTGTTGTTGTTGCATCATCTGTATTTGACTCGATTGAGGATAAGATTCGATATATTTTTATTTTTGAGATCAGGGGATATTAAGATCTGCTAATTTTTAGTATTTTTTTTTATCAAATCCGCTATTTTCCTTTTTAAGTAATTAAATCATATCAAACCCTAATCCAATTCAAATCACTTTCTCACCATTGCTTACATTCTCTCTACCTTGGACTCCGGCGAAGATACTCTACTCCCCAAACCGCCCGTGTCCGACCTCCGTCCGACCCTGACCCTGCCGGCTTGGTCTACGGCTTCCTGGTGAAACCCCCGCTGCCGCCGCCGCCGCCGCCGCCGCCGCCGCCCGCGCTCAAAGACCACGCCCCCGTCCGTGGCAACCACGGCGGCCCGGTTTCTACTCGGGCAGATGATGCCGCCGGAGGAGGCGCGAGAACCACCGCTCGAGCAATTCAATTATGGCGCAACGCGAGCAGTTAAATCACGGTGCGACTGCGGGATGTGCTTTGCGGCGTTGATGCTGCGAGCATTCTTGGTGACAATCGGATATACGGTCTACGGGATGATAACATTGTTCACTTCTGACTCATCGCTGGGACTTTTCGTCTCCGGCGGGCACCTCTCTTCCCTCGGTGTGTCGCCGTCCTCTCGTCAGTTGAAGGGGACTTGGCACATCGATTTCCAGCTACTGTACAAGGATCCGAGCGGCGACTATATTTCATGCGATGGGGCCGCGGTCTTGGTGTAATACAAAGGAGCGTACCTGGCAGGGGGGAATCTTCACGCCTTCATCGTAACTCCGTGGCGGCCGATTTGACTGGCGGTGAACGTCGATGTGTACTGAAGTGACGTGCCGGGTTGGCTCACCGACGAGCTCACGGAAGACAGTAGACTTGGGGGTGGCAGAGTTCGAGGTTCAGTTTATCGCCGAGTTCAAGGTTCCATACGAGGAGATACAGCCCCGTACTTTCCTGTGCGGGGGTTTGAGGTTAGGGTTTTTCGACGACGGAAGAAGCTAAGCTCGTGGGCGACGGCGACATAGGATGACCGAAAGTTGCTTGGTAGAACTCGAAATCGATAAGAAGAAGAGAAAGTGTCGATGGGATAGATCTCGTTCCGTTTTCTTTTTTTTTTTCGTCTTCAATAAGTAGGGGGATGAAGTTGATTGTTTTCCAAGCATCAAGTCGCAGTTTCTAACTTAACCTGCGCCGTGGATAGGTTGTGAATGAGTCGAACTATTCTTGATTCGTAGATTACTCGAACCTGTGATGATCTTTTAGCAAGCCATTCTATGTGATCTTTGCTTGATGTTTTGTCGATTATTTCAATAGTATCACGTGAAGATCCATGCGCTCAAGCCAATTGTTTCATGCAAATATGTCTTATGAGGGATGATGAAATAAGTCCTTAGCGCTCAGACCCAGCTCAATAACGAAGTGGATGGACAATCGCGTGATACTCTAGAAATACCTCGATACTTTTTCATGACCTTATTATAATGGTACGGACCCGGAACCTCTGCCCAAATCTGCCCCGGAAGCACGGCCGCCATCTCGACGATGACCACCGTCCGTTGGGTTTTCGGTCGACCTAGTGACGTGAGGTCTTAGAAGGTCTTGGTGGAGGTGGACATTATATCCGTGGAAGGACTATATAGTGCTCGGTGCAATTGTGCTCCTAGCGTTAGCTGCAATCTCCGTTGTTCTCCCTCTCCTTCGACCCTGGTCATTGTTTCATCCGCTGAGCGGGGGTATGGAGCTTTGCTCCTTCGCCATCTCCCTGAAGCATCAGATCCGACTGGAGGCAACGTCCACAAGTTCCAGAGCAATGGGACCAATTGGCTTGTGGACAACCTTATGGCGGAGGACAAGAGAGTTGGAGTTGCGGAGTTTGACATTCAGTTTGTTGCTAATGGACCTAATGGCAGTACTTATCCTTGTGAGGTTTGAGGTCAGGATTTTCGAGGAACACGACGGCCGAAGAGCTAGGCTCGTTGGCTAGAGTCTCATACAGAGCCATTGTTTATGCACAAGGTCGGACACAAGCAATACATAAATTTTATATTTTCCTGAGATTTCATTATTCGACAGAAAAATTACCTTATGATCCTAAACTTCTATTCTTTGATTGATAGGCTACATTCTACTTTTCTTTAAGTTACAACTCGCGCGTTAACGACGCGTTTGTTGTCTAAGCATCGAGCACTCGTACTGCCTGGATAAGAAGATTAAAGAGAAAAGAGACTTTCTTAGAAGTCGTCGGGACCCCCTTCCTTCCGCAAAGACTCAAAAAAGATGCAAAAGCGTTTGCCATCCTACAAAAAATCCACCTGGACATGGAATTCGCTCTCGTTTTTACACCCCCTTCTTTCGATCGTCCATAAATAGCGTCTCCTCGATCATGGAATCCTCAAACGCCTCCGCAACTTCCGTCCAATATTACCCTGCACACCGCCGCAGCCTCGTTTACAACACATCAAGTCGTTCGCTGCCTGATCGCCTTACTACTCCTACTCTTCGTCTTGGCTAGCGCTGTGAGCCTCATCGGCCGGCTCGTGCTCCATCCCCACCCTCCTGTGTTCAGAGTCGACTTTCTTGCCGTGTCCAGATTCAACATCTCGAGCCCCCAGTTCACCCCCTGCTACGATCTCAAACTTGTCATAACGAAGATAGCCTTCTTCATCGACCATTTTGGCCTGCTAATTTCCTATAGAGGGATCCCACTCCTAAAGAGGGTCATGGAGCCGCCGAACTACGTACAGATACCAGGTGACGGAGTTTGGGGGTCGAGTTCAAGTTAGACATGGAGAAGCTGAACGACAAGAAGGAAAGGAAGGTGCTTAGGGACATGAAGTTGTTGCTTGGTCAGTTTGCTCCATGTTTGTGTTAAGACTGTCAAAAGGAAGTAGCAGTTGGTATCATGTCTTTGTATAGGAACGTAATTACATATGATAGGAATTTTTTTTTTTTTTTGGTCAACCAAAGTAGATTTTTATTTATATCATAAACGTGATAGAGTAGCTGAACCCAGACGCGGGGCATCTTTACAAAGCAAGGCCCAGAGGGCCGGGGGTGGGGAAGACAGCCAGTTCAATGGAAGAAGTTGGTTTCGGTGGTTTTTCGCTGCCCAGTCTGCAACCGAATTTGAACTCCTTGGACAATACTCCAACTGCAACAAAGGGAGGTCCACAAGAAGGTCCCTGCATTCTTTAATGAGCACTCGAATCTCCCAATTGACTTGATCTGCACCCGACAATGTACGAATCAGTTCAAGTCTATCTGACTGAACTATAACTTCCTTCAAACTTCAGTGTTTTGCAAATCTCATTGCCTCCAGTATAGCTAGTGTTTCAACTTGAGCCACCGAGGATGCCTTGACAGATTTTGTGAGTCCATCGACGAGAACCCCGGTGTGATCCCGGCAAATGCACGCTATCGCACCGTCGGTTGATCCCTCCACAAGCGAGCCATCAACATTGATTTTCAGCCTCCCTCTCTCCGGTGCAATCCAGGTTGGTGAAGCTGCCCCTTCTCTTCCGTTCCCTATTTTTGCCATATGAATCCCCCATTTTTCATAATTTTCTTCCATCACTTGCGCAGCTTCTACAGTTTCCTCCGCATTTGTATTTTGGCCTCCAAAGATCGAGTTGTTCCGGGATTTCCAGATATGCCACAGAGTAGTCGCCACCATTTTCAAAGGTGGTAATCCATTCTGTTTCTTTGTAAACTTCAT